ATTGCTCTAACTAATTGCTTTATGCTTTGCAGGAGATATTTTGGGCTACAATAGGGTTAGGAATCATTTTGAGCTAATATGGAGTGTTGGGGCCAAGTTAAAGATTATGGAGTATATTGGGAGCTCGTTCGAGGATCAACGGAGGTTCGCGCACTTAAAAAGAAGAAATAAAACGAGAGCAGAAAATGGCCCAGGTGCGCGGCCGCGCACTGACCGTGCACTGGGCCACGCAAGTCAAGCAGAAACTTTCAAATGTGCGTGGTCACCTGCCTAGGTACGCGGCCGCGCACGTCCCTTCGAGGAAATATTTTACAGTGCTAAAATTGTAATTCCGGGGGCAACTTTCCTTGACCTATCTGAAGACCAACTCGTCTAAAAAGAGGGGACCTTGATTTTGAGAAGGAATTTTTGAGAGAGAAGAAGACGGAAGCAACGGGAAATCGATGTACTTGATCAAATTCACTCAATACGAAAATTTGGGTGGAATTTGGGAATTGTAATGTCTTTTTGTTCTTCTAGTACTCTCGTTTTGAATACTTTCTTCGTTATGGAGTAATTCTCCTTAGGGTTGTTGATGGATGTTATGAATTAATCATTGTTTTGCTTTTACTCTATGTTAATTTCCCGACTTTCCTGAATAAGTTCTTAATTGAATTGCAAGATTTATTGTAGTCTTACTTTAATCGAAAGAGAAGTTTTCTGCTATTAGCTTTGTGTTATCTTAATTGGGTTGATTTTATGCCTCTTCTAGGTAATCGAAAGAGCTTAAGGAGTTATTCATTTACCCAGTTCAGGAGAATAATCGAGAGGTGTTCTCCGAAGGATCATTCATTCACTATTTTTGTGCATACATTCATAGGGCATGTTATTGGGCTATCTAAGGGGATCAAATTCATTCGAAAGAAGATTTGAAATCTTTAAAGTAGCCCAATCATCTGTTGAAATCGAGAGAATCAGTAGAAGCTAAGAGTGAATTTAGCATATAGTTACCCGGAGCAATAGTTGATCACATATCTTATCATCACCCTTGCCTCTCTCATTGATATTCCTTTATTTTTAATAATCATTCAGGTATCATCAGTTTTTTTCTAGCTGATAATCGTAGTTTATTTGTAGTCAATAAGAACATAAATCAAAAGGTTGATTATCCTGGATAGTGTTAAGCTGAAGAATTAATAGAACATTAGTGAAACCAATCCCTGTGGAGACGATTTAATACTATACTATCTTTGATTAGCGAGCCTAAGTTTATACGTCGATTTTACACTCGTCAGGAGCGTGTTCGAATTGTGATTTGGAGGTCAGGAGTAGAATTAGGCTTGAAATGGCGAAAGTTGAATTTTTGGGAAGTTTGTGACTTGTGTGAGAAATTTGAGGTCAATCGGACATGATTTGATAGGTTTCGATGTCGTTTGTGGAATTTGGAAATTTCAAAGTTCATTAAGCTTGAATCCGTGTGTAATTCATATTTTTGACGTTGTTTGAGGAGATTTGAGGGTTCGACTAAGTTCGTATCGTGATTTAGGGCTTGTTAGTATGTTTGCTTGAGGTCCTGGGGGCCTCGGGTTGATTTCGGGTGGTTAACGAACTTGGAATGGAAGTTGAGGAATTGTAGAAGTTTGGTCTTTTGCTGGTGTGATCACACTTGTGAGGGTATTAGCCGCAGGTGCGATGCTTCAGGCGCAGCAGGTTGAGCGCAGGTGCGGAAAGGGTGTAGACCAGCAGAGGTCGCAGGTGCGATGGTTTCTCCGCACCTGCAATAGCGCAAATACGGACCAGTGGTCGCAGGAGCGGAGGCAGCCAGATTTAGTAGTTTTCGCAGGAGCGCTCATTTTTCCACACAAGCGGGTGCACAGGTGCGAGCCCAGGCTCCGCAGGTGCGGAAATGCCTGGGCAGAACCTATATAAGCGAAGGTTCCGAGATTTTTGGCCATTTCTAACATTTTGAGCTCGGATTTTGGAGGTTTTTGAGAGGGTTTTTGAAGAGATTATTGAGGTAAGCTTCTTGTGTTCGTTTTTCTTTAATAATGATATTTTCCCACTGATTTGCCACCTAGTTGGTGTATTTTTTAGGTGCAATTGAGGGTTTGAGGCTAAGGATTTGGAGAGTGAATTTTGGGAATTTGAATGACCATTTGGTGACGGATTTTGATAAATTTGGTATGGTTAGACTCGTGAGTGAATGGGCTTTCGGATTTTGTGATTTTGTCGGATTTCGAGACGTGGGCCCGGGGGCCGGGTCTGAGCCGATTTCGGATTTTAGCTATAATTTCGTATTTTTCTTGTGGAATTGATTTTCTTTAGCCTATATTGATTGTATTGTATTGCTTGTGGCTAGATTCGGGACGTTTGGAGACCTATTCGAGAGGCAAAGGCATTTTGGAGTAGAGTTTTGCGTTGATTGATGTAAGTAACATTTTTAACTCTGGTCCTAAGGGTATGAAACCCCGAATTTTGTATTAAATGATTGTTTGGAGGTGACGCACATGTTAGGTGATGAGCGTGTGGGCGTGCACCGTGGGAATTGAGACTTGGTCTATTCCGTGAAACTAAAAAGTTGAATAAGCTTGTCGTTAGCTATGTGCCTTCCTGTGTTATAGAAATTTGACATTAAAACATGTTAGAAATCATGCTTAGGCTATGTGTTGGTGCTGTAGAGACCCCCAGTGGTCGTGATACCTGTTGAATCTTCCTGCTTATTGTTACTTGTACTCAGTCGTAGTATTACTTGCATATTATACCTCAGTCTCTGTTATTCCCCGTTGATACATTATATCATTATGTTTTGGGTTGATTCTCCTTTATTACTGAGGGTCGTGAGACTAGAGAGGTTGATGACTGAGTGAGGCCGAGGGCCTATTTGTGAGGTATTGATACCATAGCACGTGAGTTGTCCGTGCGGATCATGACATTTATACTATAGCACGTGAGTTATCCGTGCGGATTCTGATATGATACTGTAGCACGTGAGTTGTCCGTGCGGATCTTGATATGATACTATAGCACGTGAGTTGTCCGTGCAGCACGTGATTTGTCCGTACGGATTATAGTGCTTGGGCTATAGGAGGCCCTCCGGATTATGTACACCCCAGTGAGCGCAGGTACCTATTGAGTGTGAGTATTGAGGGCTGAGAGTCGAGTGTTGAGCTATTGAGAGAGCTTGAGGGACTGTTGCCCTGAGAGGTTGCACTTGTTTCATCTGTTGCTGCACTTAGATGATTTATGTTATTGTTCTGAAACTTCTTGAAAAATATTGTATCCGGTTTTACCTGAACTTGGTAATGTGTAACTGACTTGACTTAAATTGCCGGAATTGAAACATGTCTACTTTCATTGCTGAAATTACTAAAATGAACTGTATTTGTATAGCTCGTCACTACCTTTCAGTTCATTAATTATTATTGTTACTTACTGAGTTGGTTGTAATCACGCTATACCCTGCACTCCGTGTGCAGATCCAGGTGTTTCCAGTCACGGAGGACGTTGATCTCGTGCGTGGTTGAGTATCGGAGATTCACGAGGTAGCTGCCGGCGTTTGCAGTCCTTGTCTCTCCTTCCTTGTTATCTTTTCTTTTCTGTATTGGTATTTTGACACAGACTCTTATAGACACCGCTTCTTAGACTGGTTGTTTAGATGCTCATGACTTGGTGACACCCGATGTTGGGGCTATTTTTCCGCACTATATTTTAAGTTTAACTCCTGTTTTTATGAAAACTCTGTCATGTAAAAGCTTTTGACTTATCTTTTGTGAAATATTAGAAGTATTTTTGAGAATCGGCTTGCCTAGTACCATCGATAGGCGCCATCACGACAGGTTAGGATTTTGGGTCGTGACAAGAGAAGAGAGCAACTGGCGCAAAACAAGAAGCAGACTTGAAGGTGGAAGGACAAAAGAGTTTGTAAGTCCATTTTAAGAGGCAAGCCTTTCTTTATGATCATATGTAGGGGTGTCAATGGTTCAGTTCGGCCGGTTATTTTATAAAATTTGTACCATACCAATTTTTCGGTTATTCTATTATGTATAACTAAAATTAGACTTTTCGAAACCGTCTCAATCATGTTGGTTTTTCTTCAGTATCGGTACAGTTCGGTTAATTTTCATTTTTTTAACTATTATGTAAAATTCACCAGTAGAAGTAGAATGCAATAACATACGTTCTTTTATAGGACTTAGCAAAACTCTCTAGACATTTTTACTGTTTAAAGGGTGATGAATTAAAAAAATAAAAGATGGCTAGAGTATAGATTCATCAACTATTCTAAAATAACATAAAAGAAACCAAGCAAAGGCAAAGAAAATATAAATCACACAAGTGGAAAGATATTAACCAAACTGGGACTCAAGAATAAAGTCTATAGAATATTAAATATTCAAAAAGATAAATTTAAATTATATGAAAGAAAACATATTCAATACATGTAGCTTGCTACTCATAATCGCTAGAATACTTTGTGTCTTGATAATGAAGATACTTGAAATAACTTAGTTTAAGTAGAAGTAGTATAATAGGTTTTAGGAATTAGTATTTTGAGTTTAATTACTTGTTGACTTGTAATAATTTTCATAATTCCAAGGCCCAAAGAAAAATTTAATGCATTATTATTTTTAAACTTACTATATAAATATATTTTCCACATGTAAAATTTATTCGGTGCGGTTCGGTATTTTTTCGGTTTATTTTTATAAAATAAAAAACCTACCCTAATTATCGGTGCGATTATAGATTTATATAAAAACCTACGATTTCTTTAAAAGAAAATTAAAAATCGGTTCGGTGCGATACAGTTCGGTTAATTTAGTTGGTTTTTGAATGTTCATTGACACCCCTGATCATATTGATCGCATTTCGTGACTTTTCTTTCTTCGGGCATAGATGGGAGAATATAGTGGCTATTTGTGCACAACCATTAAAAAGTGAATACACATTCGTGCGTGAAAATAGGCCACGCCATGAAAATTCTACAAATTAGCGTGGGTCATTGAGGCCCATATTACATACAAACAAGCCCACTACGTGGACCATCATGATTCACAATAGCTTCCTTCTCACTGTAATCTGCTGAAGAATCAGCTGAATTTCACAGATTCATCACATTTCTGCGTCAACATTCATGGTACGTTCCACTCTTTGATCTCTATCTTTCTATACTTGTTTATTTACCAATCGAAATGAAAATTTGTTGTGAAAAATGCCTTAATAGTGGGATGCATTTTAAATAAAGTGGGATTTAACAGAGTGAAATGGGTATATAGGATTTCCATCTAGTTTGAAATTAAGGCATAATTGATTGGCTGACTGATTCATTGGTTGGTTTGATTTGACACAAACACACACACACACACACTCTCTATTGTATATGCTTAGGTGCATTTTTTTATGCCTCCTTGGTTTGTTTTGTTTTTGTTCTCTGGGGGGAGATATTTTGAGTGCGAATTGATAGTTTTTAAAGACGAAAAAACAGTTTATTGTTTTAACTGTTTCGTAATGGCCATTGTATTCCTATAAAGAAGAATGAGGAGAAACCCTAAATTACATTTGGGCAGCGCATGTGGTCATTGCCTTTGATTTTATTTGATGCTTGAATATGTTATCGAAGAAAGCAGTTGCTTCATTAATCTGTATTCTTTGAAAATAATTTCGGCTTCTTTTTCGAGATTTGAGTATGATATAGCTTATGAAGTTCCTATTTTGAACCTAAAATAATTAGAATTCTTAAATATTGGAGAACTAGGAATATATGTAGTCTACTCTGCACTTGAAGGTTGGAATTAAGCCTCTTCAGAGAAAAACATGACTTTGTGAGGGAAAAGAAAAGATTTTTGCTTTCTTACTTTCACGGAAGGCTTATGTATTTGTTTCAGAGAGGTGGGCGTAAATCAAATTAGTACCCATGGATCCATCTACTTATGTTGGATTTAAATTAGTACCTAAACTTTGAAAACAATGTAGTAAGAGATGCATCCAAGGGTGTGACCTAGTGGTCAATAAAGTGGGAGGAGAACATGAGGTCTCAGGTTCAAATCTTAGCGGAGGCAAAAAGTACTAGGTGATTTCTTCCCATTTGTCCAAGCCTTGGTGGTAGAGCCGCCTGATACCTGTGCTGGTGGGAGGTAACAGGTACCTGGTGGAATAATCGAGGTGTGCACAAGCTGGTCCAGACACCACTGTCATAAAAAAGATGGAAAAAAAATGTAGTGGGATATGTCCAGTGCTGTCAAAGGCAAAACGGGTTAAAAAGTGCTCCAGGTTTATTGGGGCTTTAAGCCCAAAGCACAATTAAAGTGTATGCTTTATTTTAAAAGGGCGCAACAAAGAAACAAATAAAAATACATATCTAGTGCAAGAACAAATAACAACATCATTCATAACAATTAATATATCTTTTTACTAATCATATTTACTGTTTTAGTACCGTTCTATTCAAGATAGAACTTATGGGAAATGAGACACACGCCTTAGTGCCTTGCCAACGCTGAAGCGCAGCCTAAGTGATGTGAAGCACCTACCCTCAGCTTCTTTGAGCTCGGCTTAAATCACCTCCAATGAGCCTTTTACTACACTGGAGATGTGTTGCATCTGAGTATTTTAACCCCCCCGAGAGAACAAAGATACACACTCCCTGAAAAGAGAAAGCACCTTTGTTTCTTCCATTATTACCCAATCCCCTTAGCATCAGGCACTTTTTTTTGATAGGTTCCTGTTAGCATCAGGTATCAACAATCTAGTTTTGAATAATTTTGAGGTATTATTCTCCTCATCTTATGTTTGCAATCTATTTACTCTGGTTACCTGAGTTTAGCAAGGTATAGCCCATTCCAAGTCCGCATAAGGAGGAGGTTAGCGAACTTGAAGTATGTTGGCAGCCAGTGCGAGAGCAGTCTAATTACTGAAGAATAGAAAGGGATAGATACATGGTATTCAGATTGCTGACACCAACTAGTAGGGATAATTGATTAACTCTCTCATCTTAGATTTATCTCAAATTATATCAGATTTGAGCTTGCTTGTTGATCCCTCAATTTGGTTTTGTAATCCCATTTCGCTTACTGCTTAAATTTGATCCGAAGGAAGGTGCACAGTACGTCTTTAGGTGCTTTAATGTTCACTGCTAGCTGCTTCCAATGCAATATTTGTCACTTGGTAGAATTCCCTCACTTGGGTTGTGATCAGAACTGGCAGACATTTAATGCGTGAAGCAGAAATGTCTGCTGCCAGTGGAGTGGCAGGTCACAGTTTCGCTTGAGCTTGTCAATAGCTAGACCTCTTTTTCTCTGTTGCCTGATCAATCATAGCCCTAAGGTTGTTGAAGTAAATTCTGATTGAGAAACAATGCGATGCATCCAATTTAAAAAGATTGGCCCCCACAACTCGTTGCACCTGACAATTTTCTTCAGTAGATACATGCAGTCACCTTTGTGAAAATATGTGGACCTAGATTTTGGTTTCCTATGTTCTAGCATTAGAGGTTTATCTTGATGCTAATAGCTGTCTTTTGGCAACCTTTTGTTTCTGTGTTTTTTATAATGTATAAGATTTTATTCATAATCAGTGTCAAGAACTTACTGTAATCAGTACATAAGTCTGTACCAAAAACAAAAAAAAGCAGTACAAAAATCTGGACTTGCTGACTACTACAAAATTGGGGAGTCTAACAAGTCCAAAGTATCAGTGGTACTAGTTACAAAAAATTCCTTCCAGCCAAAACACTAATTGCTGTATACATCTATATTTTATACAATTAATCTTTTGTTCCTTTCGACCCACACAGTCCATGCAGTACATAAGGGAATAATCTTCCAAGTCTTCTTCTGCCTCTTCTTATTGCTTTGAGCTTGCCAGCTACATAACAGACTTCTAAAATTCTGCGGCATCACCCAGTTGACTCCAAATAGGTTCAAAATATAGGGTCCGGATCTGCCAAGATTGATAACAATGCATCAGGAGATGACTCACAGACAGTGTAACATTCTCAAAGAAAGCACCTGCTACATAAATTTTATTCCCTTCTCTGTAGCCCCTCCTGTGTAAGACAGGCTTTATGAGCTTGCAACCCAACCAAAACAGGCAACTTTAGGAGCGTTTTACATGGACATTCTTCATCATAATCTCCTGATTTTTTTTTTCAACAGCAACTTATAGCATGAATGAACAGAATAAATACCATTCCCGCTTCCCAGCCATACCTGATGATCATCAACATGGTATGTCAAATTCAGCGCCTGCATCTTCTGCAAAGGAACCAATTTTAGCCAATTCCCAATCATTTAACAGCCTTATAAAGTTTTCGATCTAGTAAACTTAGAAACGAATCATATAATCATATATTTATATACCAGATGAATCAATGAGTTATCATAATTTTCTAATAATCATACAAAGTCAGCAATCAGACAGCCTTATTTGGGACCAATCTAAGTAAAACTAAAAATTGGTTTTTGAGCAATCCTCCATCATCCCAAAAATCTATCCAAAGTCTCACTTTTACCAGTATCATCTCTCACTTTGAGAGGTCCGACCTTCACTTTTTATAACCTATAAATTGAAGCCAGCATCTTCAAAGTACCTTTTCCCCCATGTGCAAATTCCAAAGCCATAAAGAATTGACATGCACAGTCAGTTTCTTTCATTTCTTCTATTAGTGCTTTGCTGAAGAGAGCCCTTGTGATTTTCTATAGTTTCTTTGCTACTGACTTAGTATCTAAGAGTGATGCAGTAAGCAAGAAGGTTTTACATAGCCTCCAGCCCTTTGGTTTAGTGGTAAGAACTCAGCGCTTGATGTGTGGGTTAGGCACATAGGGGCGGGTCCATTTGTCTATCGAGTTTTGGACCGTCCACCATTGGCCCTCGGGTTGATAAAAAAGTAAGAAGATGTTACATATAGACTTCCCGTTGCTCGTTTTTCTTCTTGGTGGTATTCACTAGCTAACTAGCTAAGAACATATTTGTTGCATCTGTATTTTTCAGAGCTTTCATGAAAATTTTCAGCATCTGTGTTTCTCAGAGCTTGATGGAAATTAGGAGTTTGTTAAGGATAGCAGCTTCCTCCATCTTTCTACAGAAGCAGTGCATGGTCTAGGGCTGAAGGCAACACTTGAAAGGATTGCGACTATCGGTTTCAGTCCTTACATATGGATGACTGAACTAAAAAAGCTTGTGAAGGAAATGACCCCCAACAATAATATAATTTTAATTATCAAATTGTTGAACAATATGGTAGGAGCAGGAAGAGAATGATGGACTGTTGCTTCTGTTTTTTAATCGTTGATATTGCTTTTTATGCTTGCTCAATCTCGTCTGTTATGACGGTAAATTTACTGATGTGTGTCATGTTCTTCTCACAGGCACCTATAAAGGGACTTCTTTCTCTGCAACGGACTGCATTAGTACAGCGTTCTAGTGAAAGATGGGGTCTATATGGTAGGTTATTTAGCACTCAGGCTGCATCAACTGCTAGCACCCCCCAACCTACTCCACCACCTCCACCTCCCGAGAAGACTCACTTTGGTGGCCTTAAAGATGAGGATCGTATTTTCACAAATCTCTACGGATTGCATGACCCTTACCTTAAAGGGGCCATGAAGAGAGGTGATTGGTACAGAACAAAAGACCTTGTCCTCAAGGGTTCTGACTGGATCGTGAATGAAATGAAGAAATCTGGTCTTCGAGGACGTGGTGGTGCTGGTTTTCCATCTGGTCTCAAATGGTCCTTCATGCCAAAGACAACGGATGGCCGTCCTTCATACCTTGTTGTCAATGCTGATGAAAGTGAACCCGGAACCTGTAAAGACAGGGAAATCATGCGGCACGACCCACACAAGTTGTTGGAAGGCTGTCTGATTGCTGGAGTGGGGATGAGGGCTAGAGCTGCTTATATTTATATCAGGGGAGAGTATGTGAATGAAAGGAAGAGCCTTGAGAAGGCTAGGAAAGAAGCCTATGAAGCTGGATTGTTGGGGAAAAATGCTTGTGGAACTGGATATGATTTTGACGTATATATTCATTTTGGTGCCGGTGCCTATATTTGTGGTGAAGAGACAGCTCTTCTGGAGAGCCTTGAGGGGAAACAAGGCAAACCAAGACTGAAGCCTCCATTTCCAGCTAATGCAGGACTTTATGGTTGTCCAACAACTGTCACAAATGTTGAAACAGTTGCTGTTTCACCAACCATCTTAAGGCGTGGGCCAGAGTGGTTTGCTAGTTTTGGCCGGAAGAATAATGCTGGGACAAAGCTGTTTTGCATCTCAGGCCATGTAAACAAGCCCTGCACAGTGGAAGAGGAAATGAGTATTCCCTTGAAGGAGNTTAAGGCGTGGGCCAGAGTGGTTTGCTAGTTTTGGTCGGAAGAATAATGCTGGGACAAAGCTATTTTGCATCTCAGGCCATGTAAACAAGCCCTGCACA